GGCATTGATGAAACACAAATACGGCATTGATAAAACACCAATACGGCATTGATAAAACACCAATACGGCATTGATAAAACACCAATACGGCATTGATAAAACACTGATACGGCATTGATAAAACACTAATACAGCATTGATAAAACGACAATTGGCATTGATAAAACACCAATTGGCATTGATAAAACACTAATATGACATTGATAAAACAGCAATCGGCATTGATGAAACACCAATACGGCATTGAAAAAACACCAATCCGCATTGATAAAACACTAATACGGCATTGATAAAACACCAATTGGCATTGATAAAACACCAATACAGCACTGATAAAACAACCACGGCATTGATAAAACATTAATACGGCAGTGATAAAACACCAATACGGCTTTGATAAAACACTTATACGGCATTGATAAAAAACCAATCGGCAATGATAAAACACCAATACGGCATTGATAAAACACCAATACGGCATTGAAAAAACACCACCAAGGCATAGATAAAACACCAATACGGCATTGATAAAACACTAATACGACATTGATAAAACACCAATACGGCATTGATGAAACACCAATACGTCATTGATAAAACACCAATCAACATTGATGAAACACTTATACGGCATTGATGAAACACTAATACAGCATTGATAAAACACCAATTGGCATTGATCAAACACTAATACGACATTGATAAAACACCAATCGGCATTGATGAAACACCAATATGGCATTGTTAAACACCAATACAGCATTGATGAAACACCAATACGGCATTGATAAAACACTAATACAGCATTGATACAACACCAATTAGCATTGATGAAACATCAATACGGCATTGATAAAACACCAATACGGCATTGATGAAACACCAATACGGCATTGATAAAACACTTATACGGCATTGATAAAACACTAGTATGGCATTGATGAAACACTAATACGGCATTGATAAAACACCAATGGGCATTGATAAAACACCAATCGGCATTGATGAAACACCAATACGGCATTGATAAAACACTAGTACGGCTTTGATAAAACACCAATACGGCATTGATAAAACACTAATACCGCATTGAGAAAACACCAATCAGCATTGATAAAACACCACCACGGCATTGATAAAACACTAATATGACATTGATAAAACACCAATACGGCAGTGATAAAACACTAATTCGACATTGATAAAACACTAATACGGCATTGATAAAACACCAATTCGGCATTGATAAAACACCAATACGGCATTGATAAAACACCAATACGGCATTGATAAAACACTAATACGGCATTGATAAAACACCAATCGGCATTGATAAAACACCACCACGGCATTGATAAAACCAATACGGCATTGATAAAACACCAATACGGCTTTGATAGAACACCACCACGGCATTGATAAAACACCAATACGGCATTTTAATGTGACAACAATATATCATGTTACCCAGCTGGAGAAAAAATGAACCGGAAAGTATTTTTACAGGGCTATGACCTCACTGACCTCCGCCGTGGTTTGTTCAAGTCGCGTTGTAACTTTCCCCTTTCTATATGGCCGGTACTGAAACTATGTGTTTGGGCTGATTCCTCTTCAAATCACATCTGTTGGTACTCATAAATAGAATATTACACGCGGTTCAATTTGATATAAAGTTTATGTCCCCCGTGAAAATATTTTCGTTTCCTCGAAGGCAAACTGAAGCATATTTCAAGGGGAACATAAACGTTATGTTAAATTTGAACCTCTTAAATATCTTATATACATTTAATGGCCCCTTAAAAGTGTAAAACTCTACCTTGTAAAACGAAATGAGAAATATAGTGAGTTCTTTCCTCGTGCCCTTTCTAAACGTCCTCGCGCTTGAACTATAATAGCTCAGAACAGAACTACATTTTATTACTCTTAACATAGGGGTGGAACAAGCAATATTTCTTAAGGCAAGAACTCGTGAAGATCCGGGGTAGAATAGGTCTTCAGCAACCTTTGCTTGCCTTAAAAGGTGACCATGCTTGCCGTAAAAGGCGACTAACGGGATCAAGTGGTCAGGCTCGCTGACTTGGTTGATACATGTCTTCGTATCCAAATTGCGTGGATCGATGCTCATGATGTCAATGACTGGATTGTCTGGTGCAGTCTCGATTATTTACAGCCCGCCGTCATATAGCTGGAATATTGCTGAGTGCGACGGTAAACAACAAACAAACAAACAAACGAAATCTTAAGGCAAGATTGAAGCGGGGCCTTTGGTATATTTGGTACAGGTGGGGATCGATTGTATGCCATGTACGACAAAACAGTTCGAAATTCGAGACATTTGACAAACGCTGAATGGTCCACACAACAATGCATTTATTACCGTTTATTGTGACATTGATATTGCACATTTCAATATAATGAAGACCACTTGCAGATATAACATGGACACAGAATATTGACATCCAATTGAAAACCTGCCATTGATGAGTCCCAAAACCAACAAGTGGCTCCTCGTGTGGAGCTTACATAACAATATCAGAAAATTGGTTCACACTGACTCCGGGCTAGCCGGGCAACCACGCCCTCGTGCACCGTCGACTGATAAACTGTTGTCATAAATTATTACAAAACGTGAGTCGTGAGTCCGACTGTGACCTTACGATTGTAAATATTTATGTACCATAATTTAACGGGTAACTTGCAATTGAGCTCCGTGTGAGCGAGTGGCTGGCGGTCGATCTCAGATGTTCACCATATGGGAACGTAACTGTATCTTTGCTCGATTTTTGAGTCAAGAGGCTTCCGCCAAAGCTCGAATTTTGTCTGTTTGTCAACACCTGTGCAGTTCAGCCAGTAAACGTATACGAACTCTGTCACGTAAATATGTAAACCTGAACACTGTATGGTATATCCTAATATTTGGTAGATTTTCATCCTAATCACTTGAAACCGTCCATCTGATGTCTTCTTTAGCGATATCAGTGAGTTTGAGTGAGTTGAGTTTAACGCCGCTTTTAACAGTATTCCACTTATATCGCGGCGTGTCAGCTTAATGTGGGAGGAAAGCCCGAAGTGATGCAGGTCTCAGACGTTTACCACCTCGGTCAAACCCACGAGCACGGGGATGGTGCTGACAAACCTAGAAACATAATCGGGGCAAACCGGGATTCGAACCCACAATCATAGGTTTCTGGCATGCCAAAGGGACGCAACTCTGCACAGCGAATCGCGGCGCCTTAGACGACTGGGCCACCCGTGCCCCCTTAGAGGTATCAAATTGTATGCTGAAGTAGTGTTGAAGTAGAGATGAATCGGTAACAATGGATACACCCATGGTAACCAATAGGCACTTTATCATAATTTCATTTTGATTTTGGTTTTGAAATGAAATTTGATTGAAACGATTTTATGATCCTGTGCATTATTTTAACGAAACATTTGTATTATTAGCAAAACCTAACTGTTAGTTATTTGCAAATTGAAGTCAGTCTTATTTTATCCCCGCTCATTTATCAATATATAGATTTCGACGGATAGTTTGTGATCAAATATCAGTCATGCAGGTCCACTGAATGGGCATTGGGAAATAAGGGTTACGCCACATAAAGGTTTTTTGTTTCTCCTCATATACATATATAACATTATAATCGGCACATCACTTAAATGTCTTCCTTTCTTTTTGAGTTATTTAGCATTGCTTTCGCTTTTCCAATACAAAATCAAAAAACAAAAACAAAAAAATTTAAAAACTTTAAAAAAAATGTTTTTTTAAATTAAAAACTTTTGAGCAACTGGTGTTTTTCAAGGGAAATATGTGCATGTACTATGATATTCTGACCATACAGAAGTTTGTAAGTCGTATGCTTATCACGAGGGAAATACGGTACGATGTACACCGCCACACACCAAGCGTATTTCCATATGGAGGAGCATACACCATGGTGAACTTATACTGCAATGAAAACAAACAGAGATGGAGGTTCGAAACCTTTAAATTGTTTGTCGCCCTATTTCCAAGTGAGCTCCAAGTTACATGTACGTCAAATTCAGTGTTAATATACACTACGCGTACATGGAAATGTATCAAAGAGTTTTTGACCAATAGAAATTAATAATTTTACTTGTGAGATAAGGTCAGTTGTATACTATCCTCATTGAAAAAAGGAGGTCAGTAAACCTCATGAAGTAAGCGAAACCGTTATCTTTAATCAAAGAGCACTGACATCAGATCGCCAGTGGTTTTATCAGGTGTATAAGTATTAAATATACAAAAAAAAGTCCAGAGTCCAGATAACCGTGCTGGTCAAAACTCCTTTATCTAAACAAGATCTTTCGCCGTTCAACGGCTCTTCAGGTGTAATGAAAACTTATACAGTAAACTACGGTTATAACGAACACGCTTATAACGAACTGACGGATATAACGAACTTTACATTGTATTCCTAGTCCCTCTCCCTCTATTGTCAGTGGTACATCATAGGCATTAAGACGCCACAAATACTACTGTTATGTTTGTTTGTTAGTTTGTTCTTTAACGCCGCACTCAGCAATATTCCAGCTATATGACGGCGGTCTGTAAATAATCGAGTCTGGACCAGACAATCAAGTGATTGATATCATGAGCTTCGACCCACGCAATTGGGATACGATGACATGCATCAACCAATTGCAAGTCAGCGAACCTGACCACCCGATCCCGGTAGTCGCCTTTTACGACAGGCATAGTCACCTAGGACTACAATGTAAGTTAAAGCTATATGCGAAATGAAATTGATATTCAATTTTTTTATGGCATGAAACGTTGACATTTTAAAATAGAAAAACTGCTTAGTCTCATATATTTAGCTTAAATCAATAATAAATTTATTCTAACATCACAAGAACACAAACAGCAGTCGATCTGCAGAACGGTATGCACCATACAGATAGGGTTCTGTTCACTGGACATGTTTCTGAATGTTTATAAACCATCGACACTGACACGTCTCGTAGAAACGCAGCCGTCATAAGGGTGTACATATGTCCGGTGAAGCCCGGCGGACGGTCAGACCTGTGATATCTTAACACGGAAAACACTGTTGACCAGTCGTGATGACTAGACATATAATTAACACAGTGACGATGTTGCAAGTCATTTTTGTATGCATGTACTTCATGGCGAAAGGAACCTGTCAAAACGAAGCAGAAACACGTGAGTACCCTTTAACAATTTTTATTTTTTTTACATATTTATTGATTAACATTTTATATTCTTTATTCATTTATTCGGGCGTGCAATTGATTTATTTCTAAAGAAATAAAAAGTTTGACACTATTGGCGCTATTTGCACAACTGTCGCAGTTTCACTGTTTAATCTTTAATCTAATTGTCAGAGTAAGGGAGTGAGTTGGATTTCACACCTGGTTTGAGACATTTCCAACAGTGTCACGGATGGGCTTCACACACCCACAGAGGGGCTTAACACACCCACAGATGGGCTTCACACACCCACAGATGGGCTTCACACACCCACAGAGGGGCTTCACACACCCACAGAGGGGCTTAACAGACCCACAGATGGGCTTCACACACCCACAGAGGGGCTTCACACACCCACAGAGGGGCTTCACACACCCACAGAGGGGCTTAACAGACCCACAGAGGGGCTTCACACACCCACAGAGGGGATTCACACATCCACAGAGGGGCTTAACACACCCACAGATGGGCTTAACACACCCACAGATGGGCTTAACACACCCACAGATGGGCTTCACACACCCACAGATGGGCTTCACACACCCACAGAGGGGCTTAACAGACCCACAGAGGGGCTTCACACACCCACAGATGGGCTTAACACACCCACAGAGGGGCTTCACACACCCACAGAGGGGCTTAACACACCCAAAGATGGGCTTCACACACCCACAGAGGGGCTTCACACACCCACAGAGGGGCTTCACACACCCACAGATGGGCTGCACACACCCACAGAGGGGCTTCACACACCCACAGAGGGGCTTCACACACCCACAGATGGGCTTCACACACCCACAGATGGGCTTCACACACCCAAAGATGGGCTTCACACACCCACAGAGGGGCTTCACACACCCAAAGATGGGCTTCACCCACCCACAGAGGGGCTTCACACGTTGTACACGTGATGGGAATCAAACCCAGGCCTTGGTGTGGTGAGCGGACGTTTCAACCACAAGGCTAACCTATTGAGAGCAGTCCTTATACGATTAGGTGACACTCAACGCAATACACTTTTTTACAGACACTTTTGGCTTTACACTGGCAATGTTTGTTTGTTTGTTTGTTTGTTTGTTTGTTTGTTTGTTTAACGCTGCACTAAGCAATATTCCAGCGCTATGACGGCGGTCTGTAAATAATCTGGGCTAGACAATCCAGTCATTGACATCATGAGCATCGATCCACGCAATTGGGATACGATGACATGCATCAACCCATTGTGTTATTTAAACATTCCTATTTGTAATACACAGTTATATACCATCAATAACATCAAGCCGTGGAGATGCGGGGAAATAAATAAATACTTAATAACACCCGCAAATCTGTCAACACAGGGGGCGGAGGGATAACCTTGTGTTGAAAGCGTTCGCTCTTCTCTCTGACGTGATTTTGCAGGAATATTGCTAAAAGCGGCGTCAAATTATTATCATTTACTTTGCTTCTGTAACCAATCTATCTATTCAGTGCCCAGCTACTGGAATGATGTCGCTGCCGCGGAACTCCTGCGAGCGAAGGCCCTGAAACCTATCGAAAAGCCGGCCAAGAACATCATTCTGTTTGTTGGGGACGGAATGGGAATAACTACGACCTTCGCCGCCAGGGTTCTCAAAGGTCAACTGAGGAATGCATCAGGGGAGGAAACTCTTCTCAGCTTTGAAGAATTTCCCTATGTTGGAATGTCAAGGGTAGGTTGCTCCATCAGGATTTGATTTATTAATGGTTTGCCTACGCCAGTATCCACATGCACACATGAATGTTAATTATGTACCTTACTGTAAGATTTTTCCTTTAATACTTCCAGTAACAGCGTGAGATATTTGAAGGTAAATAACGACACGAAACAATCATGTTAATGTCATTGTGTTTATTCTTTCATTTCCCTTTAATTACTTGGTACAATATGTGAAGTCCTTTGTGGGTCCCGTCGTGGTATTGATGGAGTGACCGCCTCCGTGGTCTAGTGGTAGAGCGTCCGCCCGGAGAGCGGAAGGTCCGGGGTTCGATCCCCGGCCGCGTCATACCAAAAGACGTAAAAAGATGGCACTTGTTGTTACCCTGTCTGGCGCTCGGCATTAAGGGGCTAAAACAATGACTGGTCGGCTCGGAGTCAGTATACTGTGTCTGAGAGGGGTATTCATATTAAACTGCGGCATGGTATCTCAGTGGGCTAGCACTATAAATCGGCATCAGTCCGGACTAGTACAAGCAGCCACACAAACACACACACGTACATGCACGTCGCAATATAAGTGGAATAATCTTGGACACGACGTTAAACCCAATTTCACCTCACCTATTGATGGAGTATTGCTGAATGCGGCTTTAAACCGTACTCATGCATTTTAATTACTGTGTGATGAGTATGATTAAGATTTGGGCGTTGATGTACAACCCTGGCAATACATTGTATTGTTTTTTAAGGGAAATTAGTCTTCCTGTGGTGTGTTTTCTTACCCTTTAGCTTTTCTGCAGCTGTATAACGACAGAAAACATTTGTGAAAATACTGGGAAAATAATTGTTGACAGGAGGTCTTGCAAGACAATAAGTTGAGAGTCTACAAAAATTATTTTAAGCTCTCCTTTTCAAAGATATTAAATTGTGTTCTGAAAAATAGCAAAATTCAGAGTTCCCATTGTACTGTTAATAAATTCAAAGAGGGGTAGCCTAGTGGTTAGTCACGCGGTCACGCGGAAGACCCGGGCTCGATTCCCGACATGGGCACAATGTGTGAAGCCAATATCTGGTGTCTCCCGCCGTGATATTGCTGGAATATTGCTGAAAGTAGCGTAAACCCATTCTCACTAACTCACACGTCATCGTATCCCGTGGAACGATCAATCACTGGATTGTCTGGTCCAGACTCGATTATTTACAGACCGCCGTCATGTAGCCGGAATATTGCTAAGTGTGGCGTTAAATAACAAAAAAAACCCTAGCGTGGTATGGTATTGGGTGTCAGCTAAAGGTGTGACAATCACTGCTGATTAATACAGTCTGTAGCTAGAAATCAGCTCGGCGTAGGTATGCAACCGTTCAATGATGTTTGGGTACCGGCTTAAGAAGAGCATCACCTACATCACTCAGAAAGAGATATTTGCCTATATAGTGTCCTCTTGTGAGACCCATATATTATGACCAAACCAGACAATCCAGTAATTGACATCATGAGCATCGATCCACGCAATTGGGATCGCTGACATGTATCAACCAAGTCAGCGAGCCTGACCACCCGATCCCGTTAGTCGCCTCTTACGACAAGCATAGTCGCCTTTTTCGTCAAATGAATTTGACAAATAAATAAAATAAATAGTGAGCTTAAAGAAAACAATGAGATGCGAATCTGCGTTTATGAAGAGTCATTGACTGAACTGGTGTTCATTGCTCTACCTATATGCATGAACCATACCACTAGGGCCTGGTCATTGTGGCTTGTCGGCAGTAGAACAGTAGTGAATTTAGACACACGTTCATTGCTACGGGTAAGCCCCCACATCCTTCCCACCACCCACCCGAGTTGACACGATTATCGCGGATTGGTAAATGTTCGCAATTAATCAAGGGATTGTGTTTGTGGAATGCGGATAGTTTCTTTTCAAAGTTTGACTATTTCAGGCATTCCAGGTGATTTTGCAAATATAACGATGTTCGTTCACCTTATGAATTCTTTATATGGTATAATTATGATGGAGCAGTCACCACAATTGATGTCCTATTATTATTATTATTATTATTATTATTATTATTATTATTATAAGCGTTATGCATGTGTTGAAAAACCGCCTGGCAGCAATTAAGCAAATAAATGTTATTATTATTATTATTATTATTATTATTATTATTATTATTATAAGCGTTATGCATGTGTTGAAAAACCGCCTGGCAGCAATTAAGCAAATAAATGTTTGCTATGGGCAAAAAAACTAATTTGTACATATTTCTGTATACATAAAACATTGAAAGAAACGACTGACGGGATCGGGCGGTCAGGTAAATGCATGTCATCGTTTTCCAAGGATTATCGATGCTCATGATGTCAATCACTGGATTGTCTGGTCCACATTCGATGATGTACAGACCGCTGAGTGTGGCGTTAAACAACAAACAGACATATAAACAAACCTTTTTGTGTTGATTTTAACAGTGTGAAGTCTGTCTTTTTCGCCCTGTGTTGTACATGTTGACCATCGTTGCTCTTCTCATTCAGACGTACAGTATAGACAAGCAGACGACTGACTCAGCATCAACGGCAACGGCAATTCTCTCCGGCATCAAAAACAACTTCGGCGCACTCGGAGTTGACGGGCGGGTAAAACAGGGGGACTGTCCTGCCGCCCTGCAATACAACGTCACCTCTATAGCCGACTGGGCAATGGCAGCAGGTTCGATTTTTACTGTTAGGATACAAAACAATGTTTCCAGTTTTAGTTGGTTGGTTTGTTGTTTAACGCCGCACTCACCAATATTCAAGCTCTATGACGGCGGTCTGTAAATAATCGAGTCTGGACCAGACAATCCAGTGATTGATATCATGAGCATCGATCCACGCAATTGGGATCGATGACATGCATCAACCAAGTCAGCGAGCCTGACCACCCGATCCCGTAAGTCGCCTTTTACGACAAGCATAGTGTCACTTTTAGAAGTTTGTGTGATGAAGAAAGACAAGTTCTATGGATGAACAACTACTTTATTACAATTAGTGCGACGTTTCGGTGTAGATCCTAACACCTTTATCAAGCAAGTGATGGATAGTGCTGGACAACATAGGTATATATACTTATTAACATCGATATTTATACAGTAATTGATTGATGGACACAGAGAGCTGATTAAGATGATTGGAAGCCAGTGATTGACTAATGGGGCAGGGTAATCAACCACGGAAGCTGATTGGGATGAAATCATTTTGTCCTTTTACGGCAAGTATGGGTTGCTGAAGACCTATTCTTCCCCGGCGTCTTCACGGGCGTAATGCATGTTAACATAAGCATGTTGACTAGGATAATAATATAAGACAGAAGGGGGCGACCCGTGAAGATTCCGGGGTAGAATAGGTCTTCAGCAACCCATGCTTGCCGTAAAAGGTGACCATGCTTGTCGTAAAAGGCGACTAACGGGATCGGGTGGTCAGCCTCGCTGACTTGGTTGATGCATGTCATCGATCCAAATTGCGTGGATCGATGCTCATGATATTAATCACTGGATTGTCTGATCCAGGCTAGATTATTTACAGACCGCCGTCATATAGCTGGAATATTGCTGAGTGCGGCGTTAAACAACAAGCCAACCAACAGAAGGGGGCGTCTCAATGTTGTATTAGCTTTACACTTCCACAGAACTATCATATACAACTACTGTCACATATAATGGAAAATGTCATTAAATAATGTCAACATTGGTGTTCTTAAATACTAATCTCATACAACTCATACAAAATATGCAAGTGACCACGTGACCGAATCTGGTTGGAGGGGATTTCTTTGTGTCTAATGCCCATTGGTCAGGGTCGTGATTAGATCAATGGCTATGTTGACTTTGATATTTTGCAAATAACTTGTGGGACGTTCTCGGTATTTATATACTATCTCACTGATTACTTGTTAACTTGTCACATGACTGCAAGTTTTGTTTGTTTGTTTGTTGTTTAACAAACATTCAGCAATAGTCCAGCTATATGACGGCGGTTTCTAAAGTTTCGATTCTGGACCAGACAATCCATGATTGACATCATGAGCATCGATCAACGCAATTGGGATCGACGACATGCATCAACCAAGTCAGCGAGCCTGACCAACTGCGTGGATCGATGTTCATGATGTGAATCACTGGATTGTCTGGTCCCGACTCGATTGATTACAGATCGCTGTCAAATAGCTGGAATATTGCTGAGTGCGGCGTTGTTAACACAAGCCCTGTTTACCTTCTGCAGCCCTCACGTCCTCTGTATGAGAATATTGTTATTATCTCGCTGTCCCCTCTCTGTAGTATGTATGTAGGTATGCTGTGTTGTATTATTGTTATTATTATTATTATTATTATTATTATTATTATTAAAAAATGCAGCAAAGAGGGTTTGGGTGATCCTGCCACAGTCTGGCTACGCCCATCATCAGCTGAGGGCCCTGGCCCCTTCTATATATTATAATTATTATTATCTGTAAAGTAGTCCCTGGCTATCGGAGGTGTTAATTATATAGCTTCTAAAACGCAGGTAAATCAGTTGGCATAGTGACGACAACCCGCGTTACTCATGGAACACCAGCAGCGGCGTACGCTCACTCAGCAGACCGGAACTGGGAGGGGGACTCCGAGATGACCTCTGTGACGGGGGGATGCTCCGACATCGCTAAACAACTCGTCGACGACAATCCGGACATCAAGGTGAGTGAGTGAGGTTTTACGCCGCTTTTAGCAGTATTTCCGCAATATCACGGCGGGGGACACACGTTGCACCCATGATGGGAATCGAACCCGGTCTTCCGCGTCACGATCCAACGGTCGAACCACTAGGCTACCCTCCCGGCATCAAGGTATAGCGTGCTGTCCGCTCTACGTGAAATGTGATTGTAGGACATCATGGCACTGGCGACGATTCCTCTTCTCCTGATACTGGGGAGAGCAAGCTGAAAGAATTTGCGAAGTAATTGGGGAGCATTAATGAAGAAAAATGTAATAAACTTTGTCTTGGAATTCTTTACGCGGGGTTGCATCGATAACACAATGACTTGATGTGGTCAGAACTCCATCCAGACATCACTGATTTAGATAACAAGGATCAGTCAATCATTTTCTGCAACATGTATTTGTCATGAAGGGTCATCCCGACCTCCAAATCAGCTTAACACGGCTCCACCTTTTCTTCAAATGTTTGTTCTCTCCGATAAGCGTGGGCCACTCCCGCGGCGGACGGACTCAACACGCGTGTTCAAGGCGTGGCGGACGGACACAACACGCGTGTTCAATGTGAGGCGGACGGACACAACACGCGTGTTCAAGGCGCGGCGGACGGACACAACACGCGTGTTCAAGGCGCGGCGGACGGACACAACACGCGTGTTCAAGGCGTGGCGGACGGACTGAACACGCGTGTTCAAGGCGTGGCGGACGGACACAACACGCGTGTTCAAGGCGTGGCGGACGGACAAAACACGCGTGTTCAAGGCGTGGCGGACGGACACAACACGCGTGTTCAAGGCGCGGCGGACGGACACAACACGCGTGTTCAAGGCGTGGCGGAGGGACACAACACGCGTGTTCAAGGCGCGGCGGACGGACACAACACGCGTGTTCAAGGCGCGGCGGACGGACACAACACGCGTGTTCAAGGCGTGGCGGAGGGACACAACACGCGTGTTCAAGGCGTGGCGGACGGACACAACACGCGTGTTCAAGGCGTTGCGGACGGACACAACACGCGTGTTCAAGGCGCGGCGGACGGACACAACACGCGTGTTCAAGGCGCGGCGGACGGACACAACACGCGTGTTCAAGGCGTTGCGGACGGACACAACACGCGTGTTCAAGGCGCGGCGGACGGACAAAACACGCGTGTTCAAGGCGTGGCGGACGGACACAACACGCGTGTTCAAGGCGTGGCGGACGGACACAACACGCGTGTTCAAGGCGTGGCGGACGGACACAACACGCGTGTTCAAGGCGCGGCGGACGGACACAACACGCGTGTTCAAGGCGCGGCGGACGGACACAACACGCGTGTTCAAGGCGTGGCGGAGGGACACAACACGCGTGTTCAAGGCGTGGCGGACGGACACAACACGCGTGTTCAAGGCGTTGTGGACGGACACAACACGCGTGTTCAAGGCGCGGCGGACGGACACAACACGCGTGTTCAAGGCGTTGCGGACCGACACAACACGCGTGTTCAAGGCGCGGCGGACGGACACAACACGCGTGTTCAAGGCGTGGCGGACGGACACAACACGCGTGTTCAAGGCGTGGCGGACGGACACAACACGCGTGTTCAAGGCGTGGCGGACGGACACAACACGCGTGTTCAAGGCGTGGCGGACGGACACAACACGCGTGTTCAAGGCGCGGCGGACGGACACAACACGCGTGTTCAAGGCGCGGCGGACGGACACAACACGCGTGTTCAAGGCGTGGCGGACGGGTTGCACAAGTGTTGCGTCACGCGTTTCCTGTGCGTGAAGGGGATTGAACTCCTTGGCAGAAGTGTACATGTTGAATTTCGTACATTGATTGATGGGGTTATAAATGTGGAACAAAAATGCATACGTAAGCGTTGAAGGTCGCCAGAGATAATGCAGACTGTTCTCGCGTGACAGCGGCGTTTACGCGCAACAGTGACATCTATTTTGCGGTTGTACCCTGAGTGCAAAGCTCAATACCTGTCAAAGATGATACTGTCCATAAAATGCGTGGAGCCAACTTTGTTGATGTTCAGTGCACATATCTGCGTGAACCTGTCTTTGTCCAAGGCCCGCAACACTCCTTGAAGAGTTACGTCCCTTAGTTGCTACGATGCCCTGATGCCGACGCGTGTGCGTGCGAGTGTGTGTGTTTGTGTATTCGCGTAAGTAATAAAAGCAAACGGTCCGCATGGCTTTGTATAATATATATCAGCTGTTATATAACTCAAAATAACGACGTTAAATCTCACCCACTCACTCACTCATGCAAGGAAGGTTAATCAGGTAGTTAATAAATCGACGCGATTGTCCCAAAATGTGTTCGGGTTCGAGTCTCAAAATGTCGTATTCCTACAGCCATTACGTCACATTTTAACACATGTTCTATTGAATCTGGTTTTGCATATCCATCTTTCACGCATACATCTTATCAAAACTTACACCGCCTCCGTTGTCTAATGGTAGAGCGTCCGCCCGGAGAGCGGAAGGTCCAGGGTTCGATCCCCAGCCGCGTCATACCAAAAGACGTTAAAATGATGGTACTTGTTGTTACCATGTCTGGCGCTCGGCATTAAGGGGCTAAAACAAGGACTGGTCGGCTCGGAGTCAGTATATTGTGTCTAGGTGGGGTATTCATGTTTAACTGCGGCATGGTATCTCAGTGTGCTAGCACTATAAATCGGAATCAGTCCGGACTAGTACAAGCAGCCACACACACGTGCATGCACGTCGCTATATAAGTGCAATAATCTTGGACGCGACGTTAAACCCCATTTCACCTCACCTCACCTATTATAACTTATCTCACTATCATCATGATGTTGGTATTTGCAGGTCATCCTCGGGGGTGGAAGGCAATATTTCCGTCCTATCGATGCGATCGACCCTGAAACTGGGACGAACGATACTTCCAATGGACGCCGAGACGGACGCGACCTTGTTGAGGTACGCTGCTTCTTTGCGGTGTAGACCCGTGAAGATCCGGGGTAGAATATGTCTTCAGCAACCCATGCTTGCCGTAAAAGGCGACTATGTTTATCGCAAGAAGCGACAAACGGGATCCGGTGGTCAGGCATGCTGACTTGGTTGATGCATGTCATCGTTTCCCATTTTGGTCCCATCTTCCCGACGCAAGAGAGCTAACTGACTATAAAAGTCCAGTTTCCACCCTTGGCGAACTAGGCTGGTATTATGGAGTTACATTTTGGCTGGACTAACGAGTCAATGCAAAGTCCAATCAAAATCGCGCACAGAAATCGAAATCCGGTTGTAAACTGTCGGGCAGATTTCGGTCGATTGCAGGATTTGCAAAGCATGTGCACCACCAACTCGTTGTCAGCAGATATTTTCCAAATCTTTTCATGTTTTTAATCAAGGTGCTCACGTGATTTGATGCATTTCGCGATGCATCACAATATCGAACTTGATTAACGATCAGATTGTCCTGATTAACGATCAGATTGTCCTGACTGGGCGCCAACATTTTGTGTGAAGCAAACGCAAGTGATACGAGAGGTGGAATCTGATTGGTCCATAGGAGAGGCTTAGAGGGGACATAACTGGTAATAGTCACTTTTGGCGCTACGATCGAGCCCAGTAATTCCAGCCTAGTTCGGCAAGGGTTTCGGAAACTGGACTTATAAAGTCAGTTAACTACCTTGCCTCGGGAAGATGACAACATACAGCTCTTTGGTGTAGGGTTAATAATTCCCTTCGACTACTTCGTGGGATTATTACCAGTGCTATAACGACCATTAAATATTTTATGCACTATATCATTGGATTGTCTGGTTCAGACTAAAATATTTACAGACTTCCGTCATTTGGCTGCAAAATTGTTGAGTGCAGCGTTCAACAGGCAGTTTCAGTCCAGGCAATTTGAGATTGGAAAACATGACCATTGCTATTTTGCCAAGGGTAACGGATCAGATTCTCTTGGGCACATAATAATAACAATTTATATGGCATTTTACAATTCAGCTGTTTGTTGTTTAACGCCGCACTCAACATTATTTCGGCTATGTGCACAAGTTGCACACATAGGAAAGTTTGCAATTTCTTTCATTGATTCATACATTAATTTTCCCGACTATTTTGGCTTTTATGACCGATGGAATCTGGTTCAGCGGATAATTGAGATTGTTTCTTCTCTGTCTATTTGAAAGAAATTTGTCTGTTTCATAAATTTTAATTATGTGTGTGAACAATTAAATGCTTGTTTTTAAATTTGGTGTGATGCTATTATGAACTGACCTTATTGAAGGCTCTGTCCAGGAGGTTAACGTAGCGTAAAAATAGTGTCCCCCTGTGTGACACGTAATCCTATCAAAATCGATTTAACTATCATCAACCAGTGTTTTTAAGCCAACTCATTGCTGAATATTTTATAATATCGGCTAGTATTGTGCACAACCACCAGTAGCTAAAGTGATGACGTAAATCCTGCTGGGGTATCATGCAGGACGCCGAGGTACTGTAAGTCCCTATGATCCCCAGCGAGGTGGCCTAGCTTTGGTTACTGGTGGCCCATAGCCCGTGTTTTAAAAACTGTATACATTATATTGTTATGCTCAAACATGTTTCACAAACTGTTTTTAAATATAGTATGCTCAAATATGTTTCACAGCTTGTTTTAAAATAAAACATTACATAATTAACTAACTTGGAAATAGATTAACTTGGTCTCGTCGCTATATTGCTGAAAAAATATTAAAAAGTTAAATTTTAACTCACTCACTATTCTCTGGCGTTGACGTTTAATGTTTAAAAATCAGCTTGGATCAATAATTTTCTAATGTTACAAAATATAAACAAAGTATCTTACACTTGCCCGTTTCACCCATTTTAAACTTACCTATTTCACTGATGTTGAAAGTGTATTCTTGAACAAAGATCTAACCAGCTTCATCAAATGTACTTACCAAAAACGGGACATTTTGGTATCGTGTATGGTAGTGTATGTAACTATACACTGGGTCTCAAACAGTTTGCTTCTGTTACAGGACTGGATGGAAAACAAGGCTGAGCGTAATGCCACCCACCGCTACGTGTGGAATCTGGCAGAATTCAATGAAGTGGATCCAGAGTCGGTGGACTTTCTCTTGGGTGAGTGAGTGAGTTTGGTTTGAGGCTGCTTGAAAGTGAGTCAGCTTAATGTGGGATGGGAGGAACGCCAAGAGTGATGCAGGTCTCAGACGTTTATCACTTGGTTTTATCCGTTTGTTTGTTGATCAACGCCACACTCAGCAATATTCCAGCTATATGACGGCGGTCTGCAAATAATCGAGTCTGGACCAAAACATCCAGTGATTGACATCATGAGCATCGATCCACGCAATTGGGATACGATGACATGCATCAACGAAGTCAGCGAGCCTGACCACCGATCCCGTTAGTCGGCTCTTACGACAAGCATAGTCACCTTTTACGGCAATCATGGGTTGCTGAAGACCTATTCTACCCCGGATCTTCACGGGTCTACCACTTTGGTTATACCCAAGAGAACGGATATGGCGCTTACAAAGCAAGAAACATAATCGGCGCGAACTTGTCATCAGTAATCGATTAGGGTTTGTGGTATGCCTAAGGTATGCAACTCTGCACAGCGCCTTGAACGACATAGCCACTTGGGATTTTCAGTGATCCATTCATAAAATGTATACCTTCAACCCTCTGTAATCTTTTGGTGTTTTGAAGTGACGTATTCTAGATTGACATCCCCTTTGTTGATTCTGTTTAAAGGCCTGTTCTCGAACTCCCACATGAACTACGAGATTGACCGGCGGGATGGTCCGACTGGAAACGAGGCCGGGGAGCCATCCCTCAGTCAGATGACGGAGAAAGCTATACAGATCTTGCAGAGGGATCCGGATGGCTTCTTTCTTCTTGTAGAAGGTATCCCTCAATTGATATATTTATCGCTTATACACCTCTAATAAAATATCGCAACATGTTTTTTTATGGTCCTCAGTGAGTATGTTATGAACCGCAAAATCAAATGTGCGTATCCCAGCTTCAATTTATGCACGATCAGCATAAATTTATGCTTCGTGGGATAAATGAAAGACTACGACGAACTCGTAACAAGGTATTATACGTTTATGCGAAGGGCAATACAAGGCAGAACAATGACGCATAATGTCATAACGAGTGACGTTTACTAGAGATGGTGCATGTCATCGATCCCAATTGCGTGGATCCATGCTCATGATGTCAATCACTGGAATATACCTGAGTGCGGCGTTAAACAACAAACAAACCAAACCAAACTACTAGAGATGGTACAGTCATGATTCCGACGCCCAATCCTCAACAAATGCCACCAGGTTCGATACCAGAATACAATGTCAGTGTCGGGTGCAACCCCCGTCGACCAGGATTACATCATGGACCCTCCTCTTCATTGACTGTACGAGACGTTCTATCGCTTGCTCTTTTGGTTTGTTTTACGCCGCACTCAGCAATATTCCAGCTATATGACGGCGGTCTGTACATCATCGAATGTGGACCAGACAATCCAGTGATTTACATCATGCACATCGATCCACGCAATTGGTATCGATGACATGCACCAACCATTTGTTTGTTTGTTGTTTAACGCCGCACTCAGCAATATTACAGCTATATGACGGCGGTCTGTAAATAATCGAGTCTGGACCAGACAATCCAGTGATTAATATCATGAGCATCGATCCATGCAATTGGGATACGATGACATGCATCAACCAAGTCGGCGAGCCTGACCACCCCGTTAGCCTTTAACGACAAGCATAGTCACCTTTTTACGGCAAGCATGGGTTGCTGAAGACCTATTCTACCCCGGAATCTTCACGGGTCTGCACCAACCAAGTCAGCGAGCCTGACCACCCAATGGACGCCGAGGTAATCTGTCCCATGCCTGGCGCAAGGCTTGGTTCAATTCGTCAAGACCTAACACAGGGGGATTCCTCTGAGGCACTTCGTGACCGATGATGTCCCGAACATGCCCATGGGGATTACAATCTGGACTCCAGGTCAGGGCAGCGTCGGTATCGTTGTCCATTCAATTTTGTGTCACTGTGACAAACTCGAGTCTTCAGTCCTAAGACATGCGTCTCAATATAGTCAATAAGCCTCCACCGCACGGAACATGCCCCTGAGAGTTTCTTCAGTTAGCATGTGATGTGTTCCTGTGGCGCCAAACACGAGCTCAACACACGGTCGTAAACAATAGAAATGGACTCTCGTCCGGCCAGTGGACGTCAGATTCAAGTGACTTCAGCAACCAATGCTTGCCGTAAAAGGCGACTATGCTTGTTGTAAGTGGGGTTGGTGATGATGGATGGTGGTAGTGATGATGATGGTGGTAGTGATGATGATGGTGGTTGTGATGGGTGTGGTTGGTTGGTTGGTTGCATAACGTCGCACACAGCAATATTACAGCTATATGACGGAGGTCTGTAAATAATCGAGTCTGGACCAGACAATCCAGTGATCAATATCATGAGCATCGATGCACGCATGGGATTGATGACATGCATCAACCAAGTCAGCGAGCCTGACCACCCGATCCCGTTAGTCGCCTTTTACGACAAGCATAGTCACCTTTTACGGCAAGCATGGGTTGCTGAAGACCTATTCTACCCCGGAATCGGTGATGGGTGTGGTGATGATGATGGTGGTGGTGCTGGTGGTGGTTGTGATGGCTGTGGAGATGGTTTGTTTTGTTTGTTTGTTTGTTGTTTAACGCTGCACTCAGCAATATTCCAGCTATATGGCGGCGGTGGTCTGTAAAATAATCGAGTCTGGATCAGACAATCCAGTGATTGACATCATAAGCATCGATCCACGCAATTGGGATCGATGACATGTATCAACAGCGAGCCTGACCACCCGAACCCATGTGGTGATGGTAGTGGTGGTTGTGATGATGGTGGTGGTGATGATGGTGGTGGTGATGATGGTGGTGGTGATGATGGTGGTGGTGATGATGATGGTGTTGGTGAAGATGGTGGTGATGATGGTGATGGCTGTGGTGGTGATGATGATGATGATGGTGGAAGGAGTTGCTGTCTTCTAATCTGCCATCTAACTCAAGTACTTGTCTTTGCAGGAGGTCGTATTGACCATGGACATCATGCCTCCCGTGCTGCACATGCGCTTTATGACACCGTCGCCTTCGAAGAGGCTGTGACCACAGCCACCGAAATAACGTCAGAGGATGACACCCTTACAGTCGTCACTGCCGACCACTCTCACGTCCTTACAGTCGGGGGATACGCAGATAGGGGCAATCCCATATTAGGTACTTTATTTACCATTGGCGGCGGTCGGATAGTCTAGTTGTTCGCTCGGCACGCCGAAGACCCAGGTTCAATTCTCGACATGGGTACAATGTTTGAAGCCCTTTTCTGGTGCCCCCGCCGAGATAGTGCTGGAATATTGCTAAAAGCGGCCTGAAACTATACGCACTCACTCACTTGTTTAGCATTGCAGAAATTAATTATCGTGGATATCTCAGACGCAGTTAGACACCCTAGTTACAGTTGCGTTCTTTGTTTGAGGGTGTGTGTGTGTTTGTGTGTGTGTGTGCGTGTGTGTGTGTGTGTGTGTGTGTGTGTGTGTGTGTGTGTGTGTGTGTGTGTGTGTGTGTGTGTGTGCGCGCGCGTGTGCGTGTGTGCGCGCGTGTGTGTGTGTTAGGATAGGAACATTTTGGACCTACTAGAAATGTCCTTCTCTATGTGTCCCTACTTATGTTGGACTGCATACATCTACATAGGTCATGGTGAAACCCATTTCTGGTTTCCCCCGCCGTGATATTGCAAGAATAGTGCTAAATGCGGCGTAAAACCATACCCACTCACTCACATAGGTCATTGTATATGCATGTAGGGGCATGGTTGGGCCAGTCGTCCTAGCGTTGCAGGAGTAGCACCCCTGCCAAATATTTATGATCGCGGGTTCGAATCCCGGCGTTACGCTGGTTGTGTTTGTCAGCCCCAAGCTCCACACGTGATAAACGTCTAAGAGCTGCATTATGTCAGGTTTTTTCCGTCACATTGGTTGGTTGTTTAACGCCGCACTCAGCAATGAACCAGCTATATGACGGCGGTCTGTAAATAAAAGAGTCTGGACCAGACAATACAGTGAATTATATCATGAGCATCGATCCATGCAACCAAGTCAGCGAGCCTGACCACCCGATCTCGTTAGTCGCCTTTACAACAAGCATGGGTTCCTGTTCTACCCCGGATCTTCACAGATCTTTCCGTCACATTAAGCTGACATAACTGAAATACTGTTCAAGGGTCGGCGTGAAACCAAACTCACTCAGATTTGTTAAAGATTATCTCGGTATATAACTGCCGCCGATACAGTGAAATCTCGATAGTCAGGTAAATGTAACCCGGAATCCCCGTCAGCTGTTAAGATTTATGAAATATCACTGTAGAAAGATCCTTTCGCGCGTACCAAATGAAGCACGTGATTACTGTCATGGAGCCAATGCTTTTTTTTTCGCTAAGGCAAATCTGGGTCTTCGGGGTCAGACGGTCTCCCATACACGTCTCTGCTCTACGGCAACGGCCCTGGTTACGACGTCGTGGACAACGGCGGCACCTTCGGCCGACCAAACCTCACTGACACGGACACAGGTAATAACATAATACAGAGAAGATAAAAGGAGGGCGGCGTTGTGTGTGTATTTCTGTGATGTGTGGTGTGTGGTTATGCATATATGTGTGCGTATGCGTATGTGGTGTGATATGTATGTATGTATGTATGTATGTGCAGTGATGTATGTATGTATGTATGTATGTATATATGTGATGTGTGTATGTATGTATGTATGTATGTATGTATGTATGTATGTATGTATGTATGTATGTATGTATATGGTGTGGTGTGATGTGCGTATGGTGTGATGTGTGTTTATGCGTGTATGTATGTATGTATGTATGTATCTATGTATCTATGTATGTATTGTGTGGTGTGATGTGTGTTTGGGGTTTCGAAAAAAAACAGCCGCCTACCTACCTTGGCACTGAAAAAAGACCTTAAGGACTACTTGATGTTTGCATCTCACATCGATTCCATCAGATGCCTCTGCATACAGTTCCCGCCGAGCTCAGGTAGAGGGTTTTGTCTGTGTGTGCGTTTATGGCTGCAAATTAATTGGCGGTATAGTATAAACTGGGCGGTTCATTCGTGGCATTGTATTCCTACTTAATTTCCTATAGTATTTAGCTTGTTTATTTGTTGTTTAACGCAGCACTCAGCAATATTAGAGCAATATGACGGCGGCCTGTAAATAATCGAGTCAGGACCAGACTATCCAGTGATTGATATAATGAGCATCTATCAACGCAATTGGGATACGATGACATGCATCAACCAAGTCAGCGAGCCTGACCACACGATCCCGTTAGTCGCCTCTCACGACAAGCATAGCTACCTTTTACGGCAAACATGGGTTGCTGAAGACCTATCCTATCCCGGGTCTTCAGGGGTACAATTTGACTACAGTAGTAAATGAATTATGTCTTATACTTCGATTATGTTATGATTGGCATTAAAAGATTAGGAAACTTTTTCGTGTTTCCATCTTGTAAATATAATATATATTAGGCATAAAAAGTATGTATTATGCTCACACACTCGGCAAATACTATCTATTTCTAAAGGGTTTCATGGTGCTATGAATTGTTCTTTAGAGGAAAGATTGTACCGTCAACAATCCGCCGTGCCCTTGGACGCGGAAACCCATGGAGGGGAGGATGTCGGGATATATGCGCAAGGGCCTATGGCGCATCTGTTTCACGGAGTTCATCAAGAGAACTACATTGCCCACGTGATGGCGTATGCAGGATGTATTGGAGCCTACAGAGACAGCGGACAGTGCGCACAATCGGAAGTCACCACTCCTCCGGTACCGCCGAGATCAGGAGCAACTGCCAACGAAGTGTGTTTTCTGTTGTTTGTTGTCATAATTGGATTGGTATTTTAAGAACTATATAAAGTTATGATCCAGGGGATGTGTTTTCAGTTAGTGACCGAGTATAGCTTTCAGCAATATTCCTGCAATATCACGTCGGAGTGAAGAGAGAACGCTTTAACCGCTAGCTAGCTAAGGTTACCCCTCCGCCCCCTGTGTTTACAGATTAGCGGGTGTTATTAAGTATTTGATACCCAAGAATGTTCACATACAAATTGAACGGTGTCTGTGCGTGAATAAAGTGAATGGTTTTAGCCAACGCCAGCAATATTTCAGCCACACCACGGTGGTCTTTAAATTATTCAAGTTTGGACCATATAAACCGGTGATTGATAGCATGAAAGACCATGCTGTCTGGAACGATGACACATGATCAGTTATGGTTGGTTGGTTTGTTGTTTAACGCCACACTCAGCAATATTCCAGCTATATGACGGCGGTCTGGGCCAGACGATCCAGTGATTCATATCATGAGCATCGATTCACGCAATTGGGATACGATGACATGCATCAACCAAGTCAGCGAGCCTGACCACCCGATCCCGTTAGTCGCGTCCTACAGCAAGCATGGGTTGCTGAAGACCTATTCAACCCCCGATCTTCGGGGGTCGATCAGTTATGCAACACATGTTCACCCGATGCAATTTTTAGTCGGCTCTTAAGATAGACATAGGCGACTAATTTGTCACACAATCCAAATGGAGAGTAAACGAAATGATTGCATTATACAGTTTGTTTTGTTTGTTTGTTGTTTAACGCCGCATTCAGCAATATTGGAGCTATATGACCGCGGTTGCATTATATGGTGAGACGAAGTCACATATAGTGAAAGTTTATCAGCTATGGAAAATGCATTTTAATTAATGAACGTGATAATAAACGTATTTTTTTTCTAGAGGATAACGAAGTTGAGAGTTGTTTTTTTATTACTTGGTTGGTTTGTTGTTTAACGCCGCACTCAGCAATATTCCAGCTATATGACGGCGGTCTTTAAATAATCGAGTCTGGACCTAATAAGCTTTCGTACTAATAGGCTTTCGTATAAACATCCAATATCGAACGCCCTGAATCTTTGTCTTTGACAGACGAGTTCTTTCTAGTGTTGATGTGATGCGTCTAAGACCTGGACTCAAGTTGTTTCATTATTTCATATTTGCAGAAGCTGCGCTCATTAATACTTGGATTGATATTTTGTACAGCAATTTATCCTTCCTAGTTGTCTGGCCATCAATAGATACTATTAATACAACTATGCCTCAAGGCTTTAAAGACATGTATCCGAATACAAGGGTTGTCATAGATTGTACAGAGGTATTTACAGAAAAATCTTACTCTCTTGGTAAACATTCACAAATGTACGGTCATAAAAGGGCCCGTGAAGATCCGGGGTAGAATAGGTCTTCAGCAACCCATGCTTGCCGTAAAAGGCGACTAACGGGATGGGGTGGTCAGGCTCGCTGACTTGGTTGATGCATGTCATCGATCCCAATTGCGTGGATCGATGCTCATGATATTAATCACTTGATTGTCTGGTCCAGACTCGATTATTTACAGACCGCCTTCATATAGCTGGAATATTGCTGAGTGCGGCGTTAAACAACAAACCAACCAATCATTATAAAAGTCACATAACATATAAACCAAGTTGGTGTCACTCCAAATGGTGATGTTAGCTTTGTTTCTAACTTGTGGTCAGGAGCTATAAGTGACCGGCAAATAACAGTAGAATCAGGACTTTTAGATGTGAGGGATGTAGGCGATGCAATCATGGCGGATAAGGGATTTCCAATCTCCGACTTGACAGCACCTAAAGGTATACTCCTAATAATTCCACCAAAGAAGACCTGTGAATATGCCGGGGTAGAATAGGTCTTCAGCAACCCATGCTTGCCGTAAAAGGCGACTATGCTTGTCGTAAAAGGCGACTAACGGCATCGGGTGGTCAGGCTCGCTGACTTGGTTGATGCATGTCATCGACCCCAATTGCGTGGATGGGGTAGAATAGGTCTTCAGCATGTCATCGATCCCAATTGCGTGGACGGGGTAGAATAGGTCTTCAGCAACCCATGCTTCCCGTAAAAGGTGACTATGCTTGTCGTAAAAGGCGACTAATGGGATCGGGTGGTCAGGCTTGCTGACTTGGTTGATACATGTCATCGATCCCAATAGCGTGGATCGATGCTCATTATATCAATCACTGGATTCTCTGGTCCAGACTCGATTATTTACAGACCGCCGTCTTATAGCTGGAATATTGCCGAGTCCGACGTTAAACAACAAACCAACAATTGCGTGGATCGATGCTCATGATATTAATCATTGGATTGTCTGGTCCAGGCTAGATTATTTACAGACCGCCGTCATATAGCTGTAATATTGCTGAGTGCGGCGTTAAACAACAAACCAACCAAAGCAACCAACCAACCAAATCCACCAAAGAAACATTTTCATGAAAACAATTTTGTATTAAATACATTGAGCAAAATAAGTCACAAGTATTTTTGTCCAGACTTAGTCAACATATGTTCTTCAAACATTGCTTGTCGTAAGAGGCGACTAACGGGATCGGGTGGTCAGGCTCGCTGACTTGCAATTGGTTGATACATGTCATCGTATCCCAATGGCATTGATCGAGGCTCATGATATTAATCATTGGATTGTCTGGTCCAGACTCGATATTTTACAGACCGCCGTCATATAGCTGGAACATTGCTGAGTGCGGCGTTTAACAACAAACAAACAATACAGTTATTGATGACCGACTGAATGACATAATCAGAAATCATTTACAGACTGCCGTCATATAGCTGGAATGCAGCGTTAAACAACAAACAAACGATGACCAGAAGCCCACTGCTGCATATGACAGCATCAGTTTAAAAGGGGTAGAATAGGTCTTCAGCAACCCATGCTTGCCGTAAAAGACGACTATGCTTGTCGTAAAAGGCGACTAACGGGATCGGGTGGTCACGCTCGCTGACTTGGTTGATTCATGTCATTGATCCCAATTGCGTGGATCGATGCTCATGATGTTAATCTCTGGATTGTCTGGTCCAGACTCGATTATTAAAGACCTCCGTCATATAGCTGGAATATTGCTGAGTGCGGCGTTAAACAACAAACCAACCAAGTAATAAAAAAACAACTCCCAACTTCGTTATCCACTTGAAAAAAAATACTTTTATTATCACGTTCACGAATGCATTTTGCATAGCTGATATAATTCACTATATGTGACTTCGTCTCACCATATAATGCAACCGCGGTCATATAGCTCCAATATTGCTGTGTGTGGCGTTAAACAAACAAACAAAACAAACAGTATAATGCAATCATTTCGTTTACTCTCCATTGGGATTGTGTGACAAATTAGTCGCCTATGTCTATCGTAAGAGCCGACTAGAAACTGCATCGGTGAACATGTGTTGCATAACTGATCGACCCGTGAAGATCGGGGGTTGAATTGGTCTTCAGCAACCCATGCTTGCCGTAGGAGGCGACTATAACGGGATCGGGTGGTCCGGCTCGCTGACTTGGTTGATGCATGTCATCGTATCCCGATTGCGTGAATAGATGCGCATGATACGAATCACTGGATTGTCTGGTCCAGACTCGATTATTTACAGACCGCCGTCATATAGCTGGAATATTGCTGAGTGCGGCGTTAAACAACAAACCAACCAACCCATAACTGATCGTGTGTCACCGTTCCAGGCAGCATGGTCTTTCATGCTATCAATCACCGGTTTATATGGTCCAAACTTGAATAATTTAAAGACCACCGTGGTGTGGCTGAACTATTGCTGGCGTTGGCTAAAACCATTCACTTTATTCACGCACAGACACCGTTCAATTTGTATGTGAACATTCTTGGGTATCAAATACTTAATAACACCCGCTAATCTGTAAACACAGGGTACGGAGGGGTAACCTAGTGGTTAAAGCGTTTTCTCTTCACTCCGACGTGATATTGCTGGCATATTGCTGAAAGCGGCGTAAAACTATACTCGGTCACTAACTGAAAACACATCCCCTGGATCATAACTATATATAGTTCTTAAAATACCAATCCAATTATGACAACAAATAACAGAAAACACACTTCGTTGGCAGTTGCTCCTGATCTCGGCGTTACCGGAGGAGTGGTGACTTCCGGTTGTGCGCACTGTCCGCTGTCCCTGTAGGCTCCAATACATCCTGCATACGCCATCACGTGGGCAATGTAGTTCTCTTGATGAACTCCGTGAAACAGATGCGCCATGGGCCCTTGCGCATATATCCCGACATCCTCCCCTCCATGGGTTTCCGAGCCCAAGGGCACGGCGGATTGTTGACGGTACAATCTTTCCTCTAAAGAACAATTCATAGCACCATGAAACACGTGAGAAATAGATAGTATTTGCCGAGTGTGTGAGCATAATACATACTTTTTATGCCTAATATATATTATATTTACAAGATGGAAACACGAAAAAGTTTCCTAATCTTTTAATGCCAATCATAACATAATCGAAGTATAAGACATAATTCATTTACTACTGTAGTCAAATTGTACCCCTGAAGACCCGGGATAGGATAGGTCTTCAGCAACCCATGTTTGCCGTAAAAGGTAGCTATGCTTGTCGTGAGAGGCGACTAACGGGATCGTGTGGTCAGGCTCGCTGACTTGGTTGATGCATGTCATCGCATCCCAATTGCGTTGATAGATGCTCATTATATCAATCACTGGATAGTCTGGTCCAGACTCGATTATTTACAGACCGCCGTCATATAGCTGGAATATTGCCGAGCATGGCGTTAAACAACAAACAAACAAACCAACCATCTGATGGAATCGATGTGAAATGCAAACATCAAGTACAGTCCTTGAGATCTTTTTTCAGTGCCAAGGTAGGTAGGCGGCTGAAGTTTTTCGAAACCCAAAACACACCACACATAAACACACACCACACATACATAAACACACATACGCAGACACCACACCACACCACACACATACATCACACAAATACACACACCACCGCCACATCACACACACCCTTCTCTGTATTATGTTATTACCTGTGTCCGTGTCAGTGAGGTTTGGTCGGCCGAAGGTGCCGCCGTTGTCCACGACGTCGTAACCAGGGCCGTTGCCGTAGAGCAGAGACGTGTATGGGAGACCGTCTCTCCCCGAAGACCCAGATTTGCCTTAGTGAAAAAAGCATTGGTTCCATGACAGTAATCACGTGCTTCATTGCGTACGCGTGAAAGGATCTTTCTACAGAGATATTTCATTAATCTGAACAGCTGACGGGGATTCCGGGTTACCTTTCCCTGACTATCCAGATTTCACTGTATCGGCGGCAGTTATATACCGAGATAATCTTTAACACATCTGAGTGAGTTTGGTTTCACGCCGATCTTTGTACAGTATTTCAGTTATATCAGCTTAATGTGACGGAAAAAACCTGTAATAATGCAGCTCTTAGACGTTTATCACGTGTGGAACTTGGGGCTGACAAACACAACCAGCGTAACTCCGGGATTCGAACCCGCGATCATAGGTATTTGGCAGGGGTGCTACTCCTGCGACGCTAGGACGACTGGCCCACCCATGCCCCTACATGCATATACAATGACCTGTGTGAGTGAGTGGGTATGGTTTTACGCCGCTTTTAGCACTATTCCAGCCACATCACGGCGGGGGAAACCAGAAATAGGTTTCACCATGCCCTATGTAGATGTATGCAGTCTAACATAAGTAGGTACACACAAAGCAGGACATTTCAAGTAGGTCAAAAATGTTCCTATCCTAACCCCCTTAATATTCCAGCAATATCTCAGCGGGAACACTAGAAAAGGGCTTCAAACATTATACCCATGTCGGGAATCGAACCCGGGTCTTCGTCGTGCCGAGCGAACGCT